ATCACCCGGCATGCGCCCCCAATGCACCCCCCCCCCCCGCACCCCCCAACATCCAGGTCTCGCAGGTGATGTCATTTTCTGGTGATGTCATTTTCTTCAGACGTAAAGGCTTTCCGAAAAGCAGTGATGACTTACTGATTGCTGCCATCTGTCATTTCCATTCAGTGCTTCCTTAAACCAGCCCATTAGTTACACCTGCCCCCTCCCCCAGCATCCCCCTGCGACGTGAAGACCTTTCCATCCTCCGCATCCCCTTCACTTCCCCCCCGCTGGTTCCTTTTGGGGTACCCTCGGAGCCCCTCGCTAACGGTGCACTGACGTCACTCTCCCATTGTCTCGTGTTTACAGGAGAACGGGCCACCCATCTGACCTCAGAGTCACGCCAATTACGCCCACAATTGACATATCTGTGACGGATCGTCAGAGAGGCCTTTTTAATTGCCGTTAATCAATGCAGAGGTCCATGTGGCGCCACCCGCTGCCTCATGAATATTCACGAGAGCCTCGCCGGTGATGCCCATCAGGAGATCTGGCCCAGTGCGCCGCGATTTACCCATCAGGTGTGATTAGACTTGGCTCAGCCTCGTTTATTATGCAAACGCGCAGAGCTTCCTGTAACGGGGACCGTGACGTCCGCAAGTCACATGCGGAGGTGCATCTCGCTCGGGTCATGCCTCGAATTCATCCCCAAAGCTGACAGACCGCTCGGGGCGTCAGTCGGCCCCAGGAGGAAGGCTCTTTCTGAAACCCGAGTAAGAGACTTCGTGCCAAAGGTCTCCAGATCAAACACAAGGTCATGTTTAATAAGATGAAAGCACAATGGCTCTGTACGGGGACTTGCGCTCATATTCGATCAGGCCACAGGGGAAAAACACTTCAGCGTACATGCCGATTATCACGAGGGACACACGACTGCCCAGCTTGTGTTTATAGACCGACTTTGATCCTAGAGCTGACCAGCAACTTGCAAGAGGCCCTCAGAGATGATGTGACGTGGACCGAGGCAGCCCCTAAAGCTACGGGAATCACAGATACATCTTTTTTGATCAAGAGTCATCTCTCCGCCGAGCAGGTGAAAGCGCCTGGCCAGCGCCAACCCCATAAGATGACACAGGATAGATGAAAAGGATGTGCCGCTCAGAGATGTGACCAAATGGACTTTCTGAAAGGACTAAGCGAGCCATCGTCCTACCGCTGTTCCAGACCGTACCCTAGATTGTGCAACTTTCTGCGGCTGTGTGCAGGCCGGACAGATCACACCTTTCAGACTGACCGGGCCGTGAGTGTTACTGTATGGGCTTCAGAGAAAACAATTAAACAAGTTATTGATAAACGCATCATTTCGTGCTTAATGGTGCATACAATCAGTGTAGCCCCCCTCCCCCCTCCCCAGACGTCAATATCCAACCGATTATAAATAATTAGCTGGCCTTGAGTCTGGCTGGCCATGGACGATGTCCTTATTCGCTGGCAATCAGACGCCATTCCATATCCATTAGCCTTGCCAAGTTGTATGTCCCATAATTCCCACACATGTGTGTGCAGATCTCAGTGCTGCTGTTAAATAAAAACCAAAGAATAAAACAGGTTTTGTTGTTTTATTCCCCCCCTCCCCCCCATACAGACACGTCAATTTCTGGACCACAGTAGAGGATGGAAACCTTTCACAAACATTTTTATTATTATTATTATTTGAAAATACAAATATAAAATTATACTTTGCACACCAAAGATGAGGAGACCCCACCCACTCGCACGTTATCTTACAGCGGGGCCAGGTGCCGCAACACACCCTGATCTGAAGGGCGCCCTCCGGTGGTGAGCAGGAGGCAGGCCGCTCACACGAGAGAGTCCGTCAGCAGTGAACGTGGGCAGGCGTGGCGACCAAGCCGTGATGGCGAGAGAGAGGGGGGCCCACCTCAACACCAGGGGGTCCTCCTCTGCTCTTCCAGAGTCTCGTTAGTCATGTCCGAGATCCGGTGTCCCTGGTCCACATGCGACCACACAGGCCACCCCGGATTTCAAGGAGGGGGTTCAGGGGGTGAAAGCCCCCAAATCCTGGACATCAGGACCGCCCACGTGGTCTGGCGGACCCCGTAACAGTCAGCAGTATCGTATGCACCATACAACACGGTCAGACTCAGTTTCAGTACTTCAGGTTTTTTTTTGTGTTTTGTTTTTTTAACAGAGAAGCTCACAAACGCACCGGTCACACGGCAAACAGCACATGGTACAAACAGTGTCAGCTACAGAAAATAGAAGAGGAAAAAAAACAGAAGAGGGTGTCTCTGCTCTCACGTGAAATGGCTGAACGTCGTCACGAAAAAAAAAAAAAAAAGATTAACAGAAATATGCGCAACCCTCAATGCGCATCGACCGATGGGGTGGCAGTTCAGTCGATATTCTACCCCTTTCCTGGAAATTCAAGTCTGGAAGAACCCTGGAGCATGCTCTCTCAGAGGACAACTTCCAGGGGTTTGTAACTCACTCACTCTCTCTAATCTAGCGAGGTGTGTAACATTCGCCTCTGAAAAACCGCTGCACAATGAGAAACTAAATTGCGTCGATGGTGCCATGCTACCTCAAATTCTAAGCTATGGGATAAAATGACCGATTAAATCAACAAGCGGCTACGTGAGAAGATGCGGACAGCACTCTTCACTTTGACCAAAAGGCAGCAGAAAAATTGGCCTTTGTTCTGGACATGTGACCCTGAACAAGATTCTCCTTTTATAAAGGCCCTCTTTTCGTGCTGGACACGTCTGATCGCAAACACCATTAGAAACATGGGGCTGTAATCGGAAGGTCGCTGGCTCAAATCCCAAAGATTTCACCTTAACCCCTCAATTGCTCCAGGGAGCGTCTGTCCCTGCTTTCAGACGTATGTCGCTTTGGCTAGAAACATCCACTAAATTAAGAAGTTGTAGAACGCAAAGACTGTGAATGTTCCGGATAATTTCGGGACTATATTCTCTTGCTGTTGGGTCGCCCAGGCCGTGGTGACACAGTACCCCGGAGATCGAAGCCATTACGGTGACTCATTATGCCCCCGTAGTATTTGCCACGATCACAGCAGACCAACACCATAATAAAAAAAAAACAGCCGACGAAACTGCATTTTGGTCAAAACAAGGAGCAGGTGGTGTGGTTGAGGGGTACAAAATTAAATCACGGTGCCCTCAATTGACGTTTCCAGATGAGCAAGAAACAGAAGAAGAGATCACTGAGGAATCTAGGCAGACATGTTTAAAAAACATAGCAGTATTAAAAAATCACACACAAGGATGTGTACAAACACCAAACATTTACACAGGTCTTTAATATCGCCATAGTTGTTTTGTTATCATTTATGTGATAGAACACTTTAAAAAAATATTCTCTTTCACGTAATAAAATCTTTATTCGTATTTATAGCTTGTGTCCCTCTTAAAAAGATAATCAAAAATAAAACTTTTGCATATCTAGCATTAACATTTAAGGTAGTATGGCAAACCTCTTCGGACATTCTGCCTGCCTGGTTTACAGTCCCGTCCTGCAGCGCTGACTTCCCAGTGTATTTTTCGCGAGAGCTTTGGTTGGCTGAAATCACGTGGAGATCAGCGTAAGGAACAGAAGAGGACGACACAGAGAAATCCACCCCATAAATGAATGCTTTTTTCTTCCACTTAAAAAAACTTAGATCTTATAAGAAAGACTACAGCCCTAAATCTGTCACTACGGCTACTTCTTAATCTTAACTAGCTAAAGATCTACATCTACAGCTAACTAACAGATACACAGGGTTGCAGTAGGAGAACACGACTGAGCGGTATGACCCACGTACACCGGCATTAAATACAGCACTCAGTTAAATCGAAAAAACACCCATCGTACGACGACGATCAGAGAGGCGTGTGTGCAGAACGGGACAGGAAAGGTGGTACAGTACGTCATATTATTACTTTTCATACAATCTCCCATATTAACATCCACAAGGGTTTGAATAAAATTCCCCTGATTGATAACTGAAATCAGCAAAGGACCACCTTCATTATATACATATATGCTTATTATTTTAAATTCACTGTCACTGCAGTCGTCTCGATCGTTACCTGCGGTTTTATTAAACGGAAACCCGAATGAAGGTCGGGCTCTTCCTCTAAAGTGTCCAGCATTTTGCTTAAACCTGGTTCTTCTCAACGTACAAAACACGGAATAAAAGCAATAAAAACCAATAATAATAGGAAAGAAAAAACACAGCATGTGCATTTATCAGTCGTGGATGGTGATCGCTATCTTTCTCGTTAAAGGGATTCTGCCGTCTTTTTCCATCACCCTATTAATATTCATGGCTGCCACGCGCTTCCCATCCCCAGCGTCGCGCGGCCTGACAGACCGACGCTCGCGGCCGTCAGCTTGACTGCATCTACTAAGCGCTCGCATGTCCTCTTTCTAGAGCCTTCCTGCATATTCCCCCCCCCCCGTCCGGTTTACACAATTTAAATAATAATATAAAAACAGCCAAAGGTGAAAATGTGCAAATCTCAGATGGTCGCGTCTTTTCCTACCAGTCACAGTGCGATTTTTTTTTTACTGGTCTATGATTCTTGTTTTAGTCTATGTACCATTAAATAAAAGAGGTACACCTGTGAGCCTCTGAGGTTAAACCGGACCTCGCTTACGCTCGACTGCGTTTCCCTTCCTGATCCACGGAAAGGGAAACGAGGGGAGCAGACGGTGCTTTAAAGTTTCATATGTTTTGGAGCTGAATGCTAAATCAACAACCGGTGGCTAACGGTCGCCCCCACAGGGCTAGATTTACACCTTGATTTCCAGATGGGGGAAAACAAAATTAACGAGCAGAGCTATTTGTAATGACCGAAAACCTCCTTATTAAAAATGTGCTTTGGATATTTCTCTATTCGTAAAATGAATTTAGGCGGGAATCACGTGGGAGGTCATCGGTCTGCCGGCGTGGGGGGGGGGCGGTGGTCCAGCGGCCCCTCCCACATCAAAACCGCGCCATGATGACGGCCTGTCAATCCGGCTGTGAGCGCATTTTCACTTTTAAAGCATTTTTCATTTCTTTTATTTTTTTGTTGTGACACACCTACCAAAAAATATGGTATTTTTTTCTGAACCGGTTATACGCAGAGACTGGAACGATATTTACAGTTTATATATTTTTTTCCACTTGAGTAAAGTTGAGTTCACAATTTATTAAAATAAAATAAAACCTGTAAATCTTTGTCTAAATAACACTTATAAAAAAGGACAGTAAAAATATTATTGTCCTCTTCTTATTGCCCAAAATAGTTAATTATGGTTAACATCAAGACATCACAAAAATAAAAACAATTCATAACATTTGCTTACAGTCAGTTGCTCTCAGCTTTTATGTGAAGTAAAATCTCCCCAACACCCCCCCCCCCCACGTGTCCCATCCCGCCTGATACCAGAGTTAAAGTAACAGTAACGCTCACCAAACCTATTCAGCACCCAGCAGAGAAAGTAGTACAGAGATAAATGACAGAATAACCCAAGATAAAATGAATGCACAGCACATACAGCGTGAGTAAGCGGGGCCAGATGGGAAACGTCGCCCCCTAGCTGCGTGGGGGAGTCGGAGAGACACGGGAAGTGGGCAACCGGCCCTGCGTGTGGTTACTGTGGTTACTCAGACTGCAGGGCAGAAGGCTTCGCTTTTTCGTGACGGTTTGAGGATTGTGGCACCACCCTTGAGCAATGCTCCGCTTAGGGTGGTTTGGGGAGGCGGGGGGGTTACTGTAGTGCTGGGATGATGATGACTTCACCTGTACACAGAACCGATTAGAAACTTCAGGCCCTCCTCTCTGGCCCCTCCCGGCACGGTCTCCTGGGGGAAAAAGACAGTGCAAAAAGGTCACTCCCCCCCCCACAGACCCACATACAGAGGGAGTGAGGGGAAACCATCCTCATCAAACCTCCCCAGAATTTCAGCAAGCTCTCTCTGCCAAGGGCTCCAATCTAACAGCTCCTAGGTGGTCAAATGGGCCTTTGGATTGTGCACTGTGCCCCCCCCCCCAAAAGCCCCTTATCTCTTCAGCGCACACGGCCACTCTCGAAGTCATCCAGTCAAAAACCAGAAGAAACTGGAAAGGACCAGAAGTTGGAAAGGACCAGGAGTGAGGTGACAGGAGGCGATTAAAGACTGGAGGTGCTTGGTATCCCAGCATGCAAGAGCGTCGCGACAGATGCTTTCACAGCCACGTGGCTGACACACTTTGCCTTCCCCATAAACTCTCACTCGGTGATGTAAGCGTGGTTATTTGTGGAGAGACGCTGAAGTGACAATTAAATGACAGGACCCGGTGTGGAACTGTGAGGAACCAAACCACCCATCCAGAACCTGACCTGCAGAGATTGGACCAAAAAGGCTTGCAGGTTTCAGGGCCGTGCCATTAAGTTAATGTTGTCCCTTAAACAACACAGTGGGCGGTATGGCTTGAACTGGTTATTAATCCTAGGGGAGGCTTTCTATGGCTCAGTGGGTTAATATACCATGCCTGTGATCAGAAGGTTGTTAGTTCAAATCCCAGGGAGTGATTTCACTGTATTTCACTGATTTCACTGTAACCCCCCAATGATTCCACCCTTATTTCTGTAGGTGTTTAATTGCTTTATTTTAGGCCAACTTCACCAGGCAGAAAGTTAAGCAGGAATCTCTCCAAGGACCCGGGGAGGGGGGAGGGGGAGTCAGAGCAACTCTTTACGGAGAAAGCAAGTGTGCCGTGCAGGGGAGTCAGCAGCGAGTCGGCGGCGTTCAGCCCGACCAAGAGTTGGGAGAACAATGGATGGAACGTAGAGCGCGGAGTAGCAGAGCTACAGTGATAAACTAAACAAATGGAAGAGTAAGAGTAAGAACAGAAATGGGGATGAAAAGGCGATAACGAATGACAGAAAGAGTAACTGGAAATACCTCCGGCGAGATGGCGGCCGACCTTCGCTTCAGTGGTATCCGTTCGTAAAAGCCGTCGCAATCAGCGGGCCCTAGGATTGCACAGCGTACCGTGTCAGTGTCAGTGAGCAGATCAGGGAAGGACACAACCCTCCGTGAAGGTCACCGGCTCTGGGGACCCCGCCAGCTTCGGGGACCTTCCTGCACTTCCTGTTTCGGGTCACTTCCTGTCAGTGTTGCTTAATGGCAATCAAGGGTCACTGCATATTTAAAACCCCTCAATACAGGGGACAGAAAAAAATAAACATACATCCCCGTCCACGGCCTCTGAAGTACTGATCCAGGATCAGATTTCCACTTCATGGCTGGTGCAGCAGCCACGACCAGTGACAAGTCAGGCCCTCCGTTTGTGCTGAACGTGGCTGCCCCCCAAGGCTGCCCCCCCATCCCCCCTTCACTGTTTAGATGCCGCTAATCGATAACAAAACAAACAGCAGCAGTCTAACTGGGCAGGCAGCCATTCTTAATCCCAGAACATTGTTTTTAAACAGCGAAACATCTATTATTTAGTTTTTAGGTCTGCGATTAATCACCCGGCATGCGCCCCCAATGCACCCCCCCCCCACACACACACACACACAGTGCCCTGTCTATTACCACCTCTAATCACTTAGCGGATCACATCTCCGGCGGTCACATTACAGAGCTCCTCCTGTTTTACAGGAGGCAATCGTAGGTCCTGAAGCTTGACTAGAAGGTTGTGAGGTCAAAGCCCAGGTCGGCAGGGCTCTTAAAGGGACCACCTCCTTCCAGCAAACACAAAGATGCATGCAGACGTAAGCAGTGCGACACGTAGCTAAAAGCATCTGCTAAGCTAATTATAAAAGCCAAGACCAAAAATCAACTTTATTACTTTTACGACATGCACTGCTTGCGTTCTGGTTACTACTGGTTACTACTGGTTATATCCAGTTCATTTAACGGGCCGCCTGCCCCGCCTCCTTCCCCGACATGCTGACCCTCTGCCCTGGTCCCATCACACTCTCGCAAATCGATCCTCAAGGCTAAAAGTCGCCTGCCTAACCCCCCCCCCGGAGGCATGAGGGAATTGCGGTGCGTCCATCTGCGGACACTGTGGACATCTGCCAGCCCCACTTCTCAGGCTGACACACAGACTACAGCCATGCTAACGGCTAAGTGCTAATTTTGGGGTGATATGGCCTGAAAAGCAGAAAGTCTGCATCCTGGGTAATCAGTATATAATCCTACCAAAAGTAAGGGGACGTGTGTAAAACCACTGAAGAGGCTGAATTACTGAACTTAGTCACTGTGGGGGGGGGGGGGGGGCTACTCACAGCGATGCCGTGCCCAAAGCCGCTCCCCGGTTGGGGGCTGGTGGCGCTGATGTAATTGCCCACGCCGGAGTCCTGGCTACCAGGTCCATACAGGTCGGCCACAGGCCCTGGGCTGCTGTCACCATGGAAACCGGTGGGCCGTGCTGGGCTGGTACCTGTGAGTGGGGGAGCGGAACCAAGATCGGGTTTGAGTGACGGGATGAGAGTCACAGAGACGGGGTGACTGGGGGGGGGGGGTGATTCGGAAGCGAGACTGATGAGTGCACAATGAATGGGGTGCGGAAAATGCAGGAGACGAGAAAAGCTGAACCGGGCTGGGGAATGATGCCGCGGTGGGGAGGGGAGATCTCATTCAGCCGTGCAAGCGGGGGAACAGTATTATAAGGGGGGGGGAGAGAAGCCAACTGGAGAGGAGGATAGGATGGAGTGAGCGGTGGAGAAAAAGAGGAGGAGAGAGACGGAGTGAGGTGGAGAGAGTGGGGGGGGGTAACAATAATGATCATCGTAACGAGTCTAATTAAAGCAGCTCTTATGAAAATGGGAGGTGTGGGACCCAGGGACTGGAAGACAGAGTAAGTCAGAGAGACAGACAGACAATGACACAGACACAAACAGAGAGACAAAGACAGACCGGCACAGACAGACAGACAGTGAGACAGACAGACACAGACAGAGAGCCAGACAGACAGAGACACAGACAGACACAGAGACAGACACAGACAGTGAGACAGACAGAGACACAGACAGACAGAGACAGAGACAGACACAGACAGTGAGACAGACAGACACAGACACAGACACAGACAGAGATGTTTGCGCGACCCCCCACTGCTCAGTCATTACATCTTACAAACTTCACCATTCCTGACTGGGGTGGGGGAGTATAAAAGGGTGTAACTCATTGACATGAAGGGCTTCACTCCCACAATGCAGTTCACTCAGTACCACCCAGTACGCAGGAGCCGTCAGATGCATATCAGCACCATCGCGCCACCTGACATCTGAGCCCCGACCTCTGAGCTGAGACCCACGAGAGATGGAAGCGAGTGCAGAGTACGGCACACCCTAAGGAGGCCGTCTGTCACAGACAGCGGAGGCTCTGGCAGACGATGCACGCGGAGGATCATGCAATAAACTGTCTGTCGGCTGATTTCCGGAACATTCCCTCCCGACTGTCGGTCGGCGGAAGCTCAGTGAAAGAGCATCGGCAGCTTCACCACTCGGCTGTTTCGACTCAGCTTCCGCATCTCCGTTCCCGTCAGAGACGACCCCCCCCCCCCCCCCAGGGCTTCAGACCCATCCCAGCGTCTGTGCCAGCAGTCACAGGTCCAGCGTGTGCAAGCAGAACCGACGACAGATCAGCGCTGAACCCAGTTTGGCCTGATACCCCTGAAACACCCTATTCACACAGAGCACAAGTCGCAGCCCACCCCGGGCCAAAATCGGGTCGGAGGGGGGGGGGAGCAGAATCCACCGCTTATCTCAACCGACTCATTAAGTACAAAAGGTGGGCCGGGGGGGGGGGGTATTCATTAACTGCTGCAGAAAAATAACAATTATGACAAACCGCAAATAAAAAAGATGACATTTTATCTGAGATGAATGAAATTAGCCCCAGTCACAGAGAAGCCAGCGTGAGGCCCAGCGTGAAACATGGCGACGCCCCCGTCACATGACCACGGCACCCGCTGCCAGGCGCAGACAAAGACGTGGGGGGGGGGGCTGTATCAATTGAGGTAGTCAGGGCTTCACAAAGATATGGCCCCTGAACATTTCGACAAAATACCCCCTTATTACACGCCCATGGGCGCCCCCTAGTGTCGGGGCCTTTATTCGCCATGCAGGCAGGCCTGGATGCAGTAGATCACAAACAATAATAAACGGCGGTACACACCTGCGTTCTTAAAGGGGTCAGCGATGGGGGGGTGATGCAGGGCTGCGGCGCTGTGCAGCAGTGGGGCCGGGGGGCCACAGTCCAGCCCCCGCTGGTCACCAGGCGTCGGATAGAATGAGTATTCGGGGAACCCTAGGAGATACAGCCGGAATGGGGGGGTCGCTATCACTTATGAAGCACTGAAGACCTTTCTGTGGTGCGGTGGGAATGAGCTGTGCACAGTGACTGGCCAGCAGGGGGCGTAGTGGTTAAAAGGGTCGGGGGCACCCACTTTCAGAGGGGATATACAGCCTCGGGAAAAAATAAAAATACGAGGGTGTGGAGAGCAGTGACAGTGAGGCGAATGGGAGCCGACGGCAATGGATAAGATGGACACGGGTTCTGTTGTTACACTCAGGTGTGATACTGCCCAGCATCTCGGAACTGCAACTGCAACTGATACCCCATCCCCCACCCTCCAGCCCTGGAGAGCAGTGAGACATCCCAGGCCCCCCTGACCAGTTTGGCACATGCAAACACTCAGTTGAGTTTGCTGAAGGGGGGGGGGGGGATTTTGGGGCCCTTACAAAGTGCCGGGCCCCCTGAGTTTGTCATGGTATCCTTGCTGCTGCTCCATCCGCCTATCAGCAGTCACCATGAATCGGGGGCGGGGCCTCAGCTGAAAGCCGATTGGCCCGTAGCGTGCCCCTCCCCCGTCACACACCGATTCGCTAATGATGAGGTAGGAATTATGGCCCCTCTAATCCCCCCAATTTATAAAAGACTCGCCGCTGCTATAAACGCACACAGTGCGAATACTAGGTCCGGACCTTTTCGGGCAGCAAACTCTGACCTCATGGTTCCAGGACCATGCCAGCAAAGTCGGAGCAGCTGGCAAAGACAAATCGGCAACGAGGCAGCTCTGCACGTGCCGGAGGAGGACTGGAGGGCAAAAAGAACGCACCCCCCCCCCTCCCCCCAAAAGGAGGTGGATTTAATCGCCACAGAACACAGCAGCGACAAACACTTCGGTTTAATCCGGCCGTGAGACGCAGGCTAATGGCCACTGCCCTTGGCACTCGAAGGGGGGGCGATGGCACAGCTTCTAATTAGCCGAGTAATGCCCCCCCCCTCCTAATTAGATCTCCTACAGCAAACAAACAATGACCTTTACGGAGCTCAAATCTCTCCCTTCACGCCCCCCTCAGCTATCAAAACACAAGTGGGGGGAAGGATGCAAACTGGGAATCGTCAAGGCCAAAGTGACCCCCTCCCCATCCTCAAGTGTGAGGATGAGCGATTGGCCACACACTCCCTCCCCACCCCCACCCCCACCCCAGGGAGTCCCACTTTCACCAGTAACAGTCAGTACGTTGACATGCACAGCAGAGTCTACCTACGGTTGTACCTCGACTACACCGTTTATTCGGACTACTGTCCTTGTCCCAGTATACAAGCATGGGAGGGGAATCGATTTACTGACCGAAGTATGTTTGACTCCGCTACAATAGGTGGCTATACGGCTCCATTCAGCTTGATAGTTTTGGTCTTTTTCCGGTTGACGTAAAACAAATAATATAAGTAATAATGGATGCATGTGCAAATGAAGTGACAAGCTTTAACTGCGATCTGGTCGGAAGAACAGATATGACAAGATCAGGATAGCATAACAAGAAAAAGTATTTTGTATAGTATACTATGACAGCACGGTATTGGAAAATTTTCAAATATTGCTACTTGATTTTGTAAAAAATATTGGGGTATTTATGAAACAAAAAATAGCAGTCCAACATAAATTTCTCGGGAACCCGTCTATTAGTGATTTAAACAGCAAGGATGAAAGTGATTATGATCATCTCAGAGAATGCATGCAGCGCTCATGCAAAAGCAGCCGAGGTAAAACTTTAAAATTGCTAGGTTTTTTCCCCATATGATAGAGTAAAACGTTTATTGGGACTTAAACTCCCTGCGCTATAATATCCGTACGAAACGGAAGGTAAGAATAAACGTAATCTAGCTCACCAGCGATGTAAGATTTGGACGTGCATAACATGCCATGTTGGTATTAATACCGCACCCTGTCCAGTCCTATAATATACTGCATTTTTTGAATTTAGTACAAAATATCCCACCTTGCGTTGTGATGTCATTTGGCGCCGGTACCAGTTTTTACGGCAGTGGAAAAGTAACACCTTGAAGTACCGTACTTTTGGTACCTTTTTGAAGTAGCAAAAGTATGGTACCTTGTGCAGTGGAAAAGCACCATTTAATTGAGCGGTGAGTTGGACAGCTTTACAGCGCTGTGCATTTCGTACACGCTGTACTCTTTTTTGCTATTCCTTGTGGCTATGGTGTTACCCGAAGGCAGACAAACACCACTTTATGGTGCTGGAGAGCACCAAAAACGACCTCCCCTATGCTCCGAGCTTGTGTGTGCAGGCTACTTCTGTTACTTCTGGGTCAAAGCCCAGGGCGGGAACTGTGGAGCATGTGCAGAGTGTCTAGGCCAGTTTGAGTCCGATTGAACGTTTACATGCAGGTAATCGACTCCCAATCGCATTATCCGGGTGCCTTAAATCTGACTGTGAGAAATTTGATTTAGTAGGATTTCAGTCGGACTGACATGTTTACATGCACTTTAAAAGTCCGGTTTTGGTTGGACTAACACAATAACACAATAATTTAATTTTCTTAGTGTGCATGTAAACATACCGACTCATTCTGTGTCCATCTCACTGTGATCACATCACACCAACAGCTGTTCACTCAGGAAATCGAGCCCTTGAAACTCAAGCATTTGGCCCTGGGGATTTGACCCCACAAATCTTCTGATCTTCCTAATCCCCATCTGAGCCTCACAAACGACATGGTGTCCCTACTTCTCAGCTAGCGTGTCCGCACTCCGGAACAATCCATCTGATGAGACTGGGACCATGTCTAGCCCCCCCCCCCCCCGTCCCCCGAAAATCCCCTGGCGACCTCACTTAGCCGGCCATGTCAAGAAGCTCATCAAACACTTCTCTTCTGAAGCAGCCCAGAGCTTCACAACGAGTGTAATTAGCACCCTCATTTCTGGGTGTTTTTTTCCTGGCTTATTTTTTTTTTTAATTGCCTGGAGCATCTTATATTTTCCATTTTAAAGGCTTTTTAAAACTGAATATGTGACCAATTAGCAGCCGCAGCGCTTCCCTGAGAGAGAGCCCTGATCCATTCACCAGAAAAGCCTCTGCCCCGTCAAACCCGATTAAGCGGAACCGGCCCGACACCCTCCAGGCACAGCCACAGAAACGGCAAAACCAGCCAGAGGGCTAACGGTCCGCACCTGCAGCAGGCCGCAGGCTCTGCCCCCCCATTGCGTGGGGCATCGTGCGAAGGACGCTTGGGCCGCTGGACTACAGGGGAATCGGGGCTCAGGTAGCATCTGGGTTTCCGGAAAAAGGGTGGGAAAACCATAAAAAGAAAAGAAAAAAGAAAAGCAAAAACGATGACATTGGTAAGAGTGGTTACGCAGTAGGAGATGGACAGAAGCAAGGGAAATGAACCAGGGAGAAAGAGAGAGAGAGAGAGAGAGAGAGAGAGGTGTAATGCAGAGAGAAAAGGAGAAGGAGAAGGAAGAGAGAAAGCAATACAGAAAAGAGGAGAGAGAGAAGGAGAAGAGAGGAGTGAGGAAGAGACTGCAGGTTCCTCCCACAGAAAGGAGCCCCCCAGAGCGCAGAAGCTGCAGACCAGCACAGCCTCCGACTCACAGCCCTTAGAGGCCCCCCCGGCCCAAGCCAACAGGACCAGGCGGCTGACTGCGGGGGGCGCCGTTTCCCCGTGGCTGCAGCTGCCGACAAAGCTCATTTAGAAGAGGAACGTTTCAATTTAATTGTGAGTTGCAGAGCGATCGCGGGGTCTCCTGATTACTACCACAGCTAAATGCCCCCTCCCCTTCTGGGGTGACCGGTCGGCTCGCCTCATTTCACTCCGCCCCCCCAAATGTCTCACACACCCCCTGCTGGCAGCATCCTCTGCTTCCGCTCCAGCTGACTAATGCCCACGTGAGCCTGTCAGAGTGACCAGAGCACCTCAGCTCACATCAACACGCAGGGTAATAATGCATCAACAGTGGGTTCGAGGCCCTCGCTGCTCGTAATCACCTGCAGGCCTGGGAGCTACATCTGGGCCGAGGCAAGCTCAGGACACCTGTAGCTCCACCTGATCCTCACTCTGAAGCCGTTCTCGGCCAATGAGTTTCCTCCCTGCTAGGCCCGCCTCCTGCCCCCATACACAGGGCTTGTCATGATGTCTCACTCTAATTTGAGTGTGTTACTTCCAGCCTGATAGATGACAGGAATCCCACCGAGTTTGTGGAATATCTCTGCTGGAATCATTTTGGCCAGTGCCATCCCATAATAGGCTGCTGAATTAGAGCACTGCCAGTGCTAAGCATGTGTGTGTGTGTGTGTGTTTGGGGGGGGAGGGGGTCCTGAGAGAATGGAACTTGGAGGGGGGGTGAGTTCAAGAGAGTGTACCATGGGGAGTCACACACACAGCACGTCCACTCATCCTCACTACCACCCCCCCCCACCCACCTGAGCCGCGTGCTGCTGCCACCGCTGCCGCCACGGGGCTGTATGCCGTCGCCGGGAACCCTGCAGGGACAGAGACACGGCACATATGGGTGACAGAGGTGTGGGGTTGAGGGGGCACCCCCCACCAAACACCCTCCCAGACGCAGCCACCTCTGACTACACAGCTCGGTTAAGGAACCGCATCAATATATCCACCAGGGTTGGGGCCATTCTGGAATGCAATGATCAATTCCAGTCCAAATCAGGAAATGGAACTGGAGTTGGAACTTAAATCTCCCTGAAATTCAAATTCAACTCCAATTCTGTTCCCTGTAGTTTTTTTCTAATCCCAGCTCCAGTTCCATTTCCTGATTTGGACTGGAATTGATCAATGCATTCCGGAATGGCCCCAACCCTGATATCTACCACTATAACATATACTCAAGTCTAACACTAACACTCCCATCCTAACTCTCTTATCCTTACTCTGACATTCTAACACTAACACTCCCATCCTAACTCTCTTATCCTTACTCTGACATTCTAACACTAACACTCCCATCCTAACTCTCTTATCCTTACTCTGACATTCTAACACTAACACTCCCATCCTAACTCTCTTATCCTTACTCTGACATTCTAACACTAACACTCCCATCCTAACTCTCTTATCCTTACTCTGACATTCTAACACTAACACTCCCATCCTAACTCTCTTATCCTTACTCTGACATTCTAACACTAACACTCCCATCCTAACTCTCTTATCCTTACTCTGATGCTCTAACACTAACACTCCCATCCTAACTCTCTTATCCTTACTCTGATGCTCTAACACTAACACTCCCATCCTAACTCTCTTATCCTTACTCTGATGCTCTAAAACTGACACTTTAGAGTATTAGAGTATTAGTATCTGGCACACACACTCATGCACACTCTCACACTCACACACTCACACACTGTGACATACTCCCCATCTCTCAGTGCCCTGCTGCCTTTTAATGTAGTAAAAACAGAGCATTTCTCTGGAGGCGACGGCTTAGTTAATGAGATTCATCTGCTAAGCTGCAGGGCCTCAACCCTGATTAAATTCACATTCAAGGATTACGTGACATTCTTCTTGGTTGCGGGGGGGTGGATATGTGGACCTTGTGTTCCTCTTAGGGAAAATCAGGTATTTTCTTAACAAGTGTGGGGGGGTGGGGAGAGAGCCCACACGATTCGTCAGTCGTACCTGAACCAAGTGACACCTGTAGTGGACACTCCTTTAATTAAAGTCATGCACTTCAGTCCTAAAGGCCAAGATGGTGGGGCAGGAGTGCAAGTGTGTAAGGTGACATAAGACTGGCCTCTGGAGATCAGGGCTGGGAGGGGCTTGGAGTGGCTGGAGACCCCCCATTGCCAAAAAAAATTAACTGTAAAACTGTGCAACTGTCCAAGTGTGACCCGCAGCAGGACCAGTCACACAACTGTCAGACCCCGCACAAACATCACACACTGTGGTCACCCCCCAGCTCCGAAGTTACTGAGGGGCAAAGCTGCAGAGAGATTAACTCTGCCGGATTAGGGGGCCTAATTAATAGATCTGGGAAGTTCATTGTTTAGCCCTCGCAAGGCGGAAAACGCCCCACCCCCCACGGGAAAAACGGCAACGTTAAATCAATTTCACGGGCTTTTATTACGGAGCAGATAACGCCCCTGTTTAGCTTTCATTTTTTCAACGTTTTTCACCCCCCCCCACACCTACCAGTCCAAGTCACGGATGACTGTTCTGTGAGAGCCCGGGGTGGGGGGGAGGGGGCTGCCAATGATGTGAAGGCTGTCGGGGGGCCCAACCTGGTAGCCCACTGCTGCATGGGAGGGACCAGAGCTTGCTGGCCTGACAGGACCACTGATACCCCCGAAAACACGGTGCCTCTCAAAATCCCGGGTTCAAGCCTACCCTGTGCCTCACCTTTAAGACAAAGCGACAATAAGCGAAATGGTCGCGCCCCACCCCTTTAAGAAAACGGTCACAAAATAAGGCCATTTGGTCTGGTATCAGAGTGTAACTGCCAAGGCCCCCCAGAAACATTGCTCTCAAGAAATGCGACTATTAGTGCACCCCCCTCAATTTTCGGTATTTACCTGATAATTACAATAGAGGGGTTCAGATAATAGCACCTGTCGGTCAAAACAAAAGACCCATCTGCTGGCTCATGGGAACGAGTTACCACAGCGCAAGTCAAATTTAATTAGTCCCTTGAACAACTTAAAATTTTCAAATAACTTGTAATTTACAGTGTGTATGTCTCTTTCTTGCCCCTTCACCCCCAACATGTGTGCACATGGGGGGGGGGGGGGGGTATGACGGAGGAGGAACCTGGATTCTTTTCCAACAGCCACCCCCCATACTCTCGTTCATTAATTAGAGGCGTTTCCTGGATTCCTGACATTTTCCCCCTCCCTGGCACTTGTGAATAACCCGTAAATAAATGCCAAAAAACAACCAGCGGGCAGCTGCAGGACAGCCCATAGGTACACAGAGCAGTCAGCAGGGCGGCGCTGTGCAAAGAGCTGGGATAAAGGTGGAGGTACAGCAGGCCAGTGCTGACGCCAGAACAGCAGGGTGGCCATAACAGCGATGCTAACAGCTGGGCAGCACTAATATCACAGCAATGCTAACAGCAGGGCGGCGCTAACAGAAGATCAATGCTATCAGTAGGGCCGCTAACATCAGAACAATGGTAACTCAAGGATGGCGCTAACATTAGAGCAATGCTAACAGCAGGGCGGCACTAACATCAGAGCATTGCTAACAGTAGGGCGGCACTAACATCAGAGCATTGCTAACAGTAGGGCGACGCTAACATCAGAACAATGCTAACAGCAGGGCGGCTCTAACATCAGAGCAATGCTAACAGCAGGGCAGCACTAACATCAGAGCAATGCTAACAGCAGGGTGGCGCTAACATCAGAGCAATGCTAACAGCAGGCCAACGCTAACATCAGAGCATTGCTAACAGCAGGGCGGCGCTAACATCAGATCAATGCTAACAGCGGGGTGGCGCTAACATCAGAGCATTGCTAACAGCAGGGCGGCGCTAACATCAGATCAATGCTAACAGCGGGGTGGCGCTAACATCAGAGCAATGCTAACAGCAGGGCGGCGCTAACATCAGATCAATGCTAACAGCGGGGTGGCGCTAACATCAGAGCCATGCTAACAGCAGGGCGGCGCTAACAGTGTTGCCTCCATGGGCCAGAATGCTCTTAAACTGTTTGGATATTTTTGTAAATGCTTGTGGATTCACCGCTCCATGTTTTTGATAAGCGTATCTATCATCCTGAGATCGCTCTGAAACACAATGAAGAATCGCAGTGAAGAAACTGTGGCCAACCACAGTCCTCCAGTAACACAGAGGGCGCGACTTTTCATTGGCCTTAGCCCCAAAGTTCCCATTTTAACACTGTAACTCTTGGTAGCCTAAATCTGTCAAACACTGCCTTTGGCAACTGTGACAGGCCAACCAAGTGCCATCAAGAACAACCAAGCAGTTTAGAGCCACAGCCAGCAGGGGGCAGCAGAAAGCAACATGGGAGACTTACCGGGGAACTGGTAGCTGTAGCTAGGGGTGAATCCAGTGTATCCTCGGCCGTAGGTTGCGACGATGTTCGGGTAACCTTGGCGAGGGGGGGGGGAGACAGAGCTGTGAGTGCCAGGGGACGGGGGGGGGGCGGTTTTCTTTGCTGTGTGATAAGATGCGACAGGATGCAGCCGGAATAATGCGACAGGTTTGAGCCACCGGTGGACATGGGGGGTGGGGGAGGGTTGTAAATTGGGCACGTTATCCTGCCATTTATCAGCGTCCCACTCTCCCACATCTGCTGATGTGGAGATTGTTAACGATGGCGGCCTGGTTCTCCCCCTCGGTTTGCAGTCTTTGGCGTCAAGGGCAGAAGACGGAGAAGAGTCTAAATCAGCAGCAACAGAGATGGGGGGGGCACTGACGCCTGCCGGGGGTGGGGGGTAGGGGGTATGGGGACGGAGGCACCCGCTGGCGTCATGGAGACCCAACAGCCAATGATTCCTTCAGCCCTCTGCTGTCATGGAAGCCTGGAGCCTCAAACAGACTGAGGAGGTCAGTGAGTGGCCAGCTGGTAAATCACAGGTCAGGCTTGGGGGGCGTTCATCACGTTTGCCTGTAAGCTAGAGTTCAGTCCCACTATCATTACTGTTAAAATTTGCCAGGCCAGAACACTGGACTGTTTTACCAGAGATATTTAATCAGTCAGCTGTTGGCAAAAGGCTTTTCCTTCAGTAAGGAACAACTCAGCCGACGTCAGTTAGGATTCCTCATAGCGCGAGATGTTTGTCGTGCCCATCAGACTGTGTACTATCAGACAGCCTGTGGTACGAGGCCATGGCGTGGTCCCTAGGGGGTCAAAGGTCATTAGGGGTGTGGTCAGTGACTTTCAGCAGAGACATGTGGTTCTAGGTTAACTAAAACTCATAACACTAGGTTAATAAGCATCAAACCTGTCCTTCGAACGGCAGTACAATTGAAATGAATGAATTAAATTCTGTATTTAAAAAGGCAAAAAGTGCCTTTTAGACAGTGAAGGACAGTAACTTCAGAGAGACAAGCCAAAGACGAGGTGGCAAAACGGAGAAGGAGAGAGGGCGGGAAATGAAGAGGTAACAGGGGTGCGTTTGAAGCGAGACGAGCTCCCAGCAGCCAATCAGCAGGCTGTGAAGTCACGGCCAAGTTCAGTCACTTGATAAATAAGTCAACAGCACGCACAGAAGCTTCCAGAAGCGGACAGCAGGCTACCGATCCCGCTGTGACGGAAACAGCTCCCACGTCGCGGGCGTCGCTGTCAGAGAGGGGAGCGACGTCGTGTCCTCAGCGCACAGCTGCGCGGTTATACAGGACTGACCCGTGTTTCACCTTCAGATGGACTGTCCGCCTGATGACGCAGGCCATGCATTATTCACAAACGCCCCCCCCCTCACGGACAGATGTACACCAGATGCAGGACACGCCGACTCTGATCCCGCCGACACGCAGAAGCCGGTAGACGAAAAGTAAACAAAGCGCACCCGGCTTTCAAGAGCCTCATAATTAATTTAATATCGCGGGGGTCCATCCACAGGCCTTGAACGGCAAGTAAAAAGTAAAGAGCCGGAATCCATTTGGAATCAGCTATTAAGGCAAATTAAACGGCACCTGACACACCTTCCCCAGCACCCAGAGTCTTTCTACCACATTCGAGACACCGCGCCTAATGGAAAAAGTAAGCAGAGATAAATTTAATTTTCTGGCTGCGGACTGCATGGAAAAAGGTATGAAATGAGCGAGGCTTTGGACCGGTCTCCAAAGAGACGGCGGGTGGGAGCCGGGGGCACCGTGATACGCCGGTCCGACTGTCCGCACTCATTATTGTACCACCGTGAAATACTCCCACTGACAGGCACGCTCTCTGCAGGGGCTTGAGAGGGTCAGGCTGCTAATGACGCGGAGGCGGAGTCTCAGTAAGGACGTCATCCAATCAGTAATCAAATGACCATTGCGGGGGCGGGACTCTCGACCCTCATGTGACCCGCGTGCTCACTGGCTCTTCCCCTCTCTCTAAAACTCCACCCCAATGAATGAAATGTCCACACCGACCGCGGTATCGATTACGCAGCCGTCCCAGGGATTTCGCTGCGTAGCGAGGGGTGCAGAACAGACGAAGGTGCGATTAGGAGGGAGAATCAGAGAGGGCGCTTTAAAGAGCCCCGACACCAGGGGGCAGAGCGTCATTTGCCCCTCATCTCCCTCCCAGTATGAAAATAAACAGCGGAGAACATCACGCTGTTTTAACTTCCACTGATATAAGCCCCCTCTCTCTTTGCCCCCCCCCTCCTCATCTGCTTCCAGTCATCCCCCCCCCCAGCTATCCAGCAAACTGGACAGAGCTCCACATTTCCCCCAGACTAAAGCCCATTCCCGCCATCCACCCAAAGATGTAGATCATTCAACAACATGTATTAATATTCTGAAGGCGATCACTCAAATTGCCTGTAGGAATCTGTGATTTTGTAATCAGATTCGTTTATTTGTTGCACACAAACCAATCGACCCAGGAATGACGCCCTCTGCCCAGCCAGAACTGTGACCCCTCCCAGATTAAATGCTCACGGTTCCATTTCAGGGCCCCTCGGGCCGCAGGCTGTGACGGCGGTGGCGTGTGCGGGGGTGTACGTACTGAGCATGCCCATTCCAAGCATGAAGGCGTCCATGGTGTAGGTCAGGCCTCGGCCTCGTGCCCGCGTCCCTGCCGGAAACATCACCTCCTTGGGCTGGGCCTTCTTACATTCTACCTGCGGAGGGGGTCCGGAAATGCACCCATTACTGGGAAAGCAAAGGACTGCACTAAGCAGGCTAAAGTACACCCTGAAGTCAGCACTATGGAAACAGCACCCCCCCCCAATGGAGACTGATGATGTGTCATGCCAAACCACCCTTCCTCCGTCTTCACGGGAGGAGTCTTGGTTTCCGCTTTAGATCTGATCTCCCTGCCTGCGATCTGGGGGATCATCGCTAGTTTTTTTTTTTTTGTACGAGGCAGCAGGTGGCGCTGTGGTTGAGGATTGTAAGGACACCGCCATCTGGAAGTCCCCGGAACACATCTGCTTCTCTTGTGTCGCTGACCTGAATACTTCAGAGCTATTTAGCAATAGAAGCCAGTTTTCAAATCACCATAGGGACACGGGATTCGCACCC